AGCAGGAAGGCTGACGTTTCGGGCCTAGACCCTTCATCAGAAGGGCCTAGGCCCGAAACGTCAGCCTTTCTGCTCCTATGATGCTGCTTGGCCTGCTGTGTTTATCCAGCTCTGCACCTTGTTGTCTTAGAAGATCATATTGTCAGTTATTAACATTATACTGCATTTAGCAAATAAGAACTGCGGATGCTGTAAATCAGAAGCAAAAACAGAAATTGCTGGAAAAGCTGAGCAAGTCTAGCAGCACCTGTGAAGAGAAATCAGAGTTAACATACCAGGTAGAATGACCCTTCATCGGAACCGAAAGGGTCATTCTATCTGATACGTTAACTCTGATTTCTCTCCATAGGTGCTGCCTGACCTGCTGAGCTTTTCCAGCAATTTCTATTTTTGATACTGCATTTAGTTCCTGTCCAAGGGGATCTTCACCCCATCCAGAAAAAGGTCCACAAAGAATGTTTCACTAAGATGGCCTCTTATTCTTCTAAACGGCAATGAGTACAACCCCAACCAACTCAACTTCTCATAAGGCATGCCGATGTACCTATTATCAGCTTAGTAAACCACCTCTGGATTGCCTCCAGTGCCAGTGAATCATTTCTTATGCGAGGGGCCCAAAACAACTGTTCACAGTATTCCAGCTGTGATCTGATTAATGCCTTGTACAGTTTTACCAAGACTTTCCTATTATTATATTCTATTCTCTTTAGAGACCAAAACAGGATATAATGATATGTGACGCCTCACCAAACTCTTGTTTAAGATCAAAATTATTGTCCTAGTCAATTATCCTGTGAGTAATCCTAGTATACTATTTAATGCATCAGAGTTGCACCAAATCCATTTTGCAATTGATCTGCAAAAAAATATTTTTTAAGAATGAGGATTTCTCTTTAAAATAAAGCTTCTGGTATTTTGTAAATTGTATTTGAAATGCATTCCCCTTCTTTAGTACCAGACTTAAACCACAGACACGTTTCTCTAATCTTATCTACCCTGCATCACTTTTCTTGTGACTTGGGTACTAATCCAGAGATTATTGCCTTTTAAGGCTTTACTTTTTAGTTTGCCCCCAAACTGGTCATGATCCTTAAGCAGAATATTTTTCTCAATCCTATCAATGTCATTAATACCCACATGGATCACAACAATTGAATCCACCCCTCTGTTCCTTTTTATATACAAGTTTCTTTCCAGCGCACAGTAGATGCCTTGTGTCCTGATACCAGGCAAGCATCCCAGCCTTCTGGACTCACGCTCTTGGTTGCAGAGAACTCTGTCCGTTCCTCGGTCTATGCTGTCCACTCCTAACACAACATTCCTGTTTACTCTCCCAACTTGAATGGCTTCCTACCACAGGGCATAAATCAGTTCACTCATCACCATGCAGGCCTGCTCTTATTGATACAAACTGCAAGAATCTCATCTGTTGGATGATTGTAAAGGCTGATGCAGCTCCTCTTTTACCTTCTGGTGCCCTTACCTGCCTCGCTTGCAGTCAGACCCATTGGTCTTTGACCACTGACCAAATCAGATGATTCTGTCCTGAGGGGTGTGACTGCCTTCTGGAATAAATTGTCCAGGTAATTACCTCCTCCTTTTATGGGCCATGTCTGTCCCCACCTTCCACTATTTTATGTGCTCTGTCTCCTGTTATTTAATCACTGGATAAGAGTATTAAATTGCCTGATTCCACTGTTTGGTTTACAGGAGGCTTTACGATACTACAACCAGACCAATTTTCAGTTGCAAATGTATGAATTTGCCAAACAACATCTACAAGCTGATGATGAAGTAAGTAACCAACTTTAGCAGCACAATCATTAGCTGCTGTTCAAGTTGCAGACGCTTGAACAGAAAACAGTGAAGAATTTAGAAGAATGATCTCATAGAAATATATAAAATCCCGGTGGGATTGGACATGCTAATGTTGGGGAAGTTCAGAACTAGGAGGCACAGCCTAAGATTAGGGATAAGCCATTCAGGACTGAGATGAGGAAGACTTCCTTCACTTAGAGTTGCAAACCTATAGAATTCTCAACCACAGAAAGTGCTGGGACCAAGTTGTTAGATATATTCGAGAGGGAGTTGGACATGACATTTGTGGGTAAAGAGGTCAAGGGATGTGGAGAGAAAGTGGAAGTGGGATACTGCAATTGCATATAATTGCTATAACCATATTGAATCGTGGTACAGGCTCGAAGGGCCGAATGGCCTACTCCTGCACTTATTTTCTATGTTTCTCAAATGAACTTGTTGTCCCAATCACTGTAGAACCTGGGTTTAACCGTCAGTACGAATCATTTCTCAGTAGTGTTTTCAAAATAAGCAGGTTTAACAACTCAGTAATATTGTCTGAAAGCAGCATTATTTCTCATTTGGGTAAGACTTTGCCCGAGTACAGTCAAAGCCACCACCTGGTGGTGATTTGGTTAAAATACATGCTGGAAACTGTCAGATCTCAAGTATAATTGAACCTGTACAAACTAATCACAAAAACAAATACTTTTGCACATTAGTGAGAGATGTTTGAAAAATTTAGAGTAATAAAATTGTAAATAACGTTCATTGTTTTACCAGGATCAAATGTAGCACTGAAAATTAGAGAAAACTTTAAAATTCAGATTTGATGTAGGTTACCTTGAATGAAGCTAAGCTGGTTTTCTTTTGATTTGGATTTCAGCATAAAGGGGCACTGGGAGTGGAATCAGGGTGGTGGACGGATGTTTATAGCCATGGACACTAATCCAGAACCTCCCCCCCACTCTGATTTTCTTCCACATATAATCCTCTCCAGTCTCATGCCCTATGAGAAATATCAGGTGTCATCTTCAGGAGCAACTGTGCAGAGAATCAAGTCACAAGCCGCTTCGAGATTTCATGCCATCCTATTTGGATTTTCCATAAAATCAAAGGACAAGCCTAATGTTCATTTTTTGTGAGGATGATGCCCGTTATTTGTACTTAGTTCGCAGGCTTGTATCCCAGTAAGCCAGCAACCAAATACAGTCGAGAGTTCCTATTCATTATGTTATGGGCATGTCTGTTGACAACACATGTATTTGCTATCCACTGCTTAAATTCATGCCAATGTGTTTTAGAAAAAATTAGAGTTAAACTTGGTCACAGCAGTGGATGGGAGTGAGAGGAGGGACCCTCCTCCTCAATCATCCTGCTGTCCTCTCTACCACCATGCACCCCACCCTCTCATCCTCTCTATCCCCTGTCCTTGATACACCACCCCAGCCCCCATTTCCATCCTGACCACTTCGCCACTCTAGTCCTCGCTACCTCGCCTTCCCCTTCAGGGGGCCAAAGGGTACGGGAAGAAAGTGGGAACAGTTTGGTCAGCTGTGATCATATTGAACTGTCAGAGCAGGCCTGAAGGGCTGAATGGCTTACTCCTGCTCCTATTTTCTGTCTCTAATACGAACTTATTGTAGATGAGGTTATTTACTCAATCCCAGAGACCATTGCAAAATCTGAATTTCGAAGTTTTCCCTAACTTTCACTGCAACATTTGATCCTCGTAAAACAATGAATGTTATTTACAATTTTATTACTCTAAATTTTTCAAATGTCTCTCATTTATGTGGGAAAGAAATTAATTGTTTTTGTGATCAGTTTGTGAATGTTCAGTTATACTTGAGGTCTGACAGTCTTCTGTATGTATTCTACCCAACACCACGACCAGGTGGTAGTTTTGACTGCACTTGGGGAAAGTCTTAGCCAAATGAGAATAATGGTGCTTTCAAACAATATTACTCTGTTGTTAACCCCACTTCTGTTTTGAAAACACTACTCTGGGAAATGATTCGTACTGACAGTTAAACCTAGATTCTACAGTGAACTGGAACAACAAGGCCATTTGAGAACTCTGGGGTGGCCATCTTGCCCTTTGCAAGTTGCCCCAGGCCAAGGGCTCAATGCTGAGGGTTACAAGCCTTGGCCAACACTGAAACCAGCAGGTTCTTGTGGTAACAGTGGAGGGGCTAGAACCTCCAGTCACAATGGTTGCTTACCAGGAAAAGGATCCTTTTGTTACATTTCCTATGGTATCCTTTTGCTAGTCATACTGTATTGCTCGATTAGAATTGAAAATGGAAGGCTCTTGAAAGCAATAGAAGACGATTATAAGAAATAAGAGCAGGAATAGGTCATTTGCCCCCTCAAGCTTGCTCTCCCATTCAACAAGATCATGGCTTCTCTACCACAAAAAATTTTTCTTCACTACCCCTTGTCCCTTGATGTTAAAATAAATCTGGAAATTTATTGATCTCTGTCTAGGATATGCTTAATGATGAGTCTCCACAGCCAGTGAAGAAATTCCTCCTCATCTTAGCCTGATCTGGCGTATCTCTTATTCTGACACTTTTTGTCCCCTTGTTTCAGCCCAGCCAAGAGAAACATGCTCCTTGCATTTTCCCTATCAGGTCTGTAAGAGTGTTGTGTGCTTCAGAAGACAAGGCATGGGGAAATGATCAGAGGCCAGACCCACTGACAAATCTTTGCTACTTCAGAAAGTAAGGTTTTGCAGATTAATGAAGACTAAGCAAGTGAATATTTTCATCAGTTTCTATCTCTACTCAGGTGTAGACCCAAATAGTCTTTTTTTATTTTCATTTTTAGTATTAAGTATCATCAAAAAAGAAATTGAAGCTATAACTTTACAAAGCCTGGGTGGCATTTTGGATTTTGTTCATTGTGCATAACATTAAAGTTAATCTATTGTATTAAGAAAAGGTCTCCTAATGTCTGAAGGTTGTTTCATGATGAGAACACAAAAGGTTTCTTTAAACTAGTAACAATTGGGAAAAAAACAATGAATAGTAAAATCACCAAATCAAGAAAATTTGCAGGCCATTCAACCCAACAGCCCTGTGCTATTTTTCCTCCACCTCAACCACCTAGTAAAGTCTGACAATCCTGTTGAGACTCCAGACCTTTTAATAAACCACCATGTCTAACCCCACACTCCATATACCCCCCATACCCTTTAATAAATCCTACTCAGTTTCATACCACTATCCTCACTCCCATGCCCTTTCGTATTACCACCCTGCCTAATTTCAGTTCCCTTTTGATGCATTTCTTGGTTAGTCACATTATAGAAGTAACCAAGTCCATTTGAAGATTTTGGTAAGTGCAATTTCTAGTTCTGTAAATCTGCCCATTATAGTGGGAACCTTCTGAAACAAAAGATTTCCATGCAATGTATAGTAAGCAATGCTAGAAATAGAAGTACAAGGCACAATTTAAAAATAAGGGGATCTTCCATTTAAGATGGTAATACCAATAAATTTTTCTCTGGTCATTAGTTTGTGGAATTTCTTTCCCCAGAGAACAGTGGAAGCTGGATCTTGTAACATTTTTAAGGTTGAATTGAAGAGTTTTGATTGATGAGGAAATAAAGGATTTGGGAGTAGACAGGAAAGTAAAGACCACAACAATAGCAGTCATGATCCTGTCAAATGGCAGAGCAAGGTTCAAGCAGGCAAATGGCCTAGTTCGGCTCCTATTTCTTTTGTTCGTGCTGAGTGTAGAATTTATAGTCATATACAGAAGCTCTGAACATCTCTGTGCAATCCAATGATAATGTGTGCAAACAGCTGTAATCTGTAAAACTGTATAAATATGTATTTTAAATTAAACAGATCCTCGCTTTTTCCCCAGTAATAGAAAAGGAAAATATTATAAATATGAAACAGCTCTGGCAGTATTTGTGAAGAGAAAGAGAGGTAATGTTTCAGATCAATGACCTTTTTATTAAAACTTCCAGGGCATCACCTGAAACATTAACTCCTGTTTCTCTCTCCGCAGATGCTGCCGGACCTGATGAATAGTTAAAATATCTGCAGTATTTTGCTTTAGGTTGGCTTTTTCACATCCACAGTGCTTAGGGAACATCAATATAACTTCATTGTGTAACTCTGAGATGAACACTTTTCTTTGTTTCATGAGGTGATGGTGTTTCTTTTGTGAATGCAGTTTCTTTTATGCATTTTCAGTCTAATTCAATAGTCTGAAAAGCAAAGCTTTGAATGTATTGTGTTTTTGAAGAGGAAATCAGGCTGAGTGTTGCAGCATTTATTGTCCATCCCTAATTGCCGTTGATAAGGTGGTAGGAGCTGCCTTCTTGAAACGCCACAGACTATCCACAGTACTGTTTGGGAGAAAGTTGCAGATTTTTGATCCAGTGGCAGTGCAGGAACAGTGATGTAGTTCCAAGTTAGGATAGTATATGACTTGAAGGGGAATGTGGTGTTCACATGTACTTGCTATCCTTGTCCTTTTCACCTGGAAATTCTATTGTGTTGAAAGTTTCCAATGAGCACATTAGTGTCCTGAGTAAGGTTCACCAGTGAAGAGAATTGTGGCCAAGACATTGAGTGTTTTCAAGGAGGAGTTAGATATAATTCTTGGGGCTAAAGGGATCAAAGGATATGGGGAGACTGTGGGAACAGGGTACTGAGTTAGATGATCAACCATGGTCATATTGAATGGCAGAGCAGATTCGAAGGGCTGAGTAGCCTACTCATGCTCCTATTTTCTACGTTTCTATGTCTATGACCACACAGAACTGCACAACATTGGCCTGTGTTGCCCCTAATTTATAAGATCAGTGGAAGGGTGGCTACTGGGCAGTTGAGGTCTATTTGATGTCATCAAGGACTTTTCAGAGGTTTTGATTCAGAGATTTGGTTAGAATTGCAGGAGCTGCATCTAACCCATGTTTAAACTCCATACTACCACAGGGCAAGCTAAAAATAGAAACCTCTTCTTAACCCCTTGCTAGTGTGATGAATGTAACTAATAGTGACAGCATGACAAAACATACTTAAAATAATTCTTGTGTACAGTCTGTATATTGAGCACATATTTGTCATGTGTGTGAAGATATCCCTGTTTACTTGCAAGAAAAACTGCAGTCTAACAGTAGCATGAAACTATCAGTGTAAGCTCTAAACAGACAGTGCAATTACCATCGCAAACTAAGAAAAACATCAAAGGAACGTTCATCATATTTAGATGACCCCGCCATATATTCTGATTGACGTTTCAGTTTTATAAACAAAAAGCACAGTCTTGAATTTAATTAAAATATTTGAGAGTATTTGCTTTAGTTTAACTGCTATTTAGTGGGACAATATTTGTTAGTGAGCAGGGATCGATCCAAATTTAATCCCAATGTACAGTGGAAAATCCTCTGTGTTTTGTGTTCAAACTATAACTGTAGCATCAGTAAAAATAGTTTTGCTGCTCACCAATTATAATGCATCTGCATCCCGACTTCTGAGTCACTGCAACAAAGGGAACACTTTGGAGAAGTGGAAGCTTCTTGTGTTTTGGTTTAGAATCACTTTGAATCTCAATACCTAAGTTACACTGTACAAGTTGAATCTTTGGTGTGAAAATGAAAGAATTTTGTACCAGGGTTAAATGTACAGTGTGACTCTCTAATGCCCAGCCAGTTACACATACAGTTACACCTCAGGTTTTCTGTTTGTGCAGTTCACTTTTTCACCTTCTTCGTATCCACTAGATTTCAGACCTAGTGAATTCCTGCAAAAAGTGAGTTATAATTCTGTAAATCTCTTTGTTTATTTTTGATCGTTACTATTGAAACAGCAGGGGGAGACTTACGTGCATCAAGTCCAATTTCACATCATGACTGCAAGAGTATGTGTTGAATCACTAATACTAAGGTTTTGGGTTATGCTCTTGTTCCGGGCAACATTGATGCACGTACTAATTATACAATCTCACTCATTGTCAATCTGTTGTCTCAGTAATTATTGAACCACATCAGAAACAGCAGATTGCAGTACATAGAGTGAAATGGCTAATTTATCCTTTAAGTTTCTAGAATCTGCAGTATTTTGTTTTTGATTAGATTAGCTAAATTAGGTTCAGCTAAGGAGAAGCAGAGAGTCGGCATAAATGGAAGTTTGCAAGTGAACCAAGTGGCTATCAGAGGGATTGATGCTGGAACTTCAACATGTTTACAATTTATATAAATGACCCAGATGATGAGATGTAAGGTATGGTTGCCAAATTCGCTGACAACTCAAACTGGTTCAGAACATAAGTTGTGCAAAGAACATTAGGAGACTACAAAAATAGGTTAGAGTGGGCAATGATGTGCCAAATGGAATTTGATGTGAAAAAATGTGTGAAATTGTCCATTTTGACAGACAAGAAGACTAAAATATTATGGCATTAGCTCAAGCATGCAGTTTTTAAAAATTTAATCCTCTCAGCAGTCCTGTTGTGTTGATATGTGCTCATGAGGTAGGCAATCCAATCCACAATAAATCACAGGATCTTCAAACAACATGTAACATTTAATAGCAGTACACAGATTTTGACAATATTTCAAGGATTCTGATTGTGATGCAAAATGAAACAAGCAAATGTGTGTAATAAATTTGCATTGTAGACTACAGTCCCAAATAGTTGTTGGAATGGTGGCAATTGAGTGTCTTAAGTTACTACAAAAAAACTTTCAGTGGGAATTGATGAAACTCAGCATTTGAACTGTGCTTGTAATTTCTCAGTCCTGCACAGCAAACAGTATGTTTTCTTTATTGAAAATAAATGCCATTGCAAGATCAAACATATTTCTTATATTTAATCATTTTAATGATTTGGTTATTATAAAACCAAAGCAAGTCTTTCAGAAGAATAAAACTGGAATTGTTGCCCCTGTGTTGTGTATATATTAGTAATTTTATTGTATGGATAAAAATGAATGAACCTAGAATTATAGAAAGTAAATCAGGCTGAGGTTTGAACACTAATGTTTGTTCCATTTGTGCAGGATGAAGTATTGGAGTATATTGACGATCTTCTGGAAGAAGCAGACAGTTAATATTAGCGACGGAGCAGAGTCTGCAGTAAAGACTGTGTTGGTTAAAAACACAAAATGAATCCATGTCTCCAGCTGCCTTAACTCAGGATAATTTCCTCAAATTCTGAACTCTTCCCATATGTGCTTAAAGTCTTAGTTTTTTTTTAATATAAACCTCTCTTTGTTTGTTCATCTACGTGCCTGAGTAGCAGCCCTATTTTTTTTTATTTGGAGATGTGCCTTTTATTACTTAATAGAAATTTTTTAGCTTTGAGCCGTTGCCTAATTTATACATTTAGCTTCCATTGTGTTCATTTTCATTTCTTCTCCAATCTAGCTCAGAAATAGTTTCTAGAGATGAAAACCATCACAGCTTCTTCAAAGTTCTTCCAGGCTGCTATCTCGGATTATTGGACTGTTTTTGTTTTCTACGGTTGTACTGATAGTCTTTCTTTAAAAGAATGTTTATTCGGTTTCTTCCAAAATCCAAATGACGTTTAAAGACACCTGGCATACATACTATATGTAGTTGGTTTAACTAACATGCTTTCCATTTCTGAGCAACTTGGTTGGTTTCAGTGCTAAATGTCGTCCTGAATCAGCCCCAAGACCATGTCGATCTTGACTGTAGGGGAGCTGAATTTTTGAAAGCAATATAAATCAGTAAAATCTGCTTCATGGATTCACACTGAATAGAGGTATCAGTCAGTAATATGTGTTCACATGTATTATCCTTCACATCTATCAGGATTAAATTTAGCATTACCAGTGAGAATGGAAACCAGAGATAGTAGGAACTGCAGATGCTGGAAAATCTGAGATAACAAGGTGTAGAGCTGGATGAACACAGCAGGCCAAGCAGCATCATAGGAGCAGGAAGGCTGACGTTTCGGGCCTAGACCCTGAAAAAGTTACTCTCCTCCCCCAAGAATGGAAACCATGTAGGTGCTGTTTGATCTAATTGTCAGGAACCCATTTAATAATAATATTGGGAAGATCTCATATTTAGAAAAAGATGTTATGCATTTTTTTTGCAACTTGTGGAGAATTTTTTGGTATAATTTTTGTTTAAACATGTGACTAAAAAGTATACAGATTGCAAAGTTCAGAAATGTTTACTGATTATGATTCTATATCAAGGACTTAAACCAAACTTGTTTCGTATTTGCCTCAGGATTCCACTAGCTGTACTGCCTCAGTGCCAGGGAAAACATTGACTCATTTATTAATGTTTGAATATAGACCCTTGATGCTGTTTGTAGAGAGTCAATGTGAAAAACCCACAACTAATCCTTCAGTGCAGCTGCTTGTGCCTGGACACTTGGTTGTGAGCCATGCCTTAAACAGCAACTCCTTTTACACAGTCACCGGTGGATTGAATAACATAGTGTAAACTCACCAAACGATTAGAGATTCTCACAAAACAACTGCTGCCTTGATAACATGAATAATCTGTAATCTTTCTGGCTCCAAAATGTTCTTTTCAGAAGAAACTAAATCAGATACCATTTGAAATTGCATGAAGGTGTATATGAGTGCGAATCACATAATACTAACCTTTGTTTGGTCATTGTTTGCTCAACCAAAAAAACCCTCAAAGCCTGCCCTTAAATTCTTTCCATGTTTACTTCAGGTCACAAACTATCTTTTTAATGTATAATCCAAACTGCTTGAAAAATAGAAAAGAAATAACACTAAATTTATTTAACTGAGATTTATATTTGATGATTTAAAGCAAACTAACAAATAGTCTGATGTAGACAGCCAATCACTCGCTGCTCCCTTACAATTACTCCCCTGCACCTACCCCACTCCTCCATCCCCACCTTCAGCTCCTCCCTGCCCCCATATTATGATCTTCACTCTTTTTGTATCTCAATGCATCATGTCTGGACTGTGAACAGCAACATTCTTGTGGTAAATCCTGTTTTTTTTAAAAAAACATGAATCACATTAATATAGCAGTATTAATCTTTCTTTATACACTACAGCCATTGTGTGCCTATTTTATCTTTAGAAAAGGATAGAATCTGTACAACTGGGTGCAATAAACGAAAATAAAATTTCACCTTTTTATGGAGAGATTGTATTGATATTTTTAAGATGGCCTCATTTTATGAAAGATGAGATTTGATTTTCTTGGCCATTATACAGAACAGTGTGAAGCTATTTAGTAAAAGACAGTTGCGTATTAAAGTAGAATAAATACAGTAGGAGTAGAATAAATATCGCATTTTCTCAAAATTAAGTTCAATTAATTGCAGTATTTTGGATTACAATTGTTAAACACATGCAGACTGTTATAACAAAGAACCTAAATAGCAATTATGTACAAATCTTTACATGATTCTGACATGAGCCACCTAAAGTTCCCACCCTTAATTTTACAAGATTCTCCAGGATGTCTAGTCAAATTTAATGTCCAATTGCAACTGAACGAGAGGGTGTCCCTGTTCAGAGGTCATTGGTACACCCATCATTCTTCCAATGGAAGCAGTGTTTTTTTTTTGTCTGCTTAACCAATCAAACTCATTGTTCATTCTGCTTATTCAATGTATTTTAAGCATATTTCTTTGTAATAGTAAGTATTGAAAGCATCTTTGAATTAAGACAACTCATACTGTATTGGAATGCTTCCCATTTTTAAGTTGGGTCATTTCTGATAGCCCCACTTTTATTGCAGAACCTTCCTCAATAAGCAATTTTTAAAATTACACTTTATACTGCATCTCAATGTGCTCAGTGCGTCTCATTTGTCCCTTTCCATTCATTTGGTATATGGAAGTTTTCTGATGTCTGCGTTTGTAGCACCATACAGCCAATATCACTGCTAATACCAGCAGACCAACCAGTGTTACAATGACAGCAATTATGGGGCCTTTCTTTGAGTGCAAACATTCGTCTCCTGTGCAACTGTCAACAGTGGGGAGCAGTTTGGCCTCAGTGCCATCACTGAAATTCTTCCCTTTAGCAAATACATCAATAATGTCTATTTCTGTAAAATCCATCAAAGTCTGGGTACTAGCTGCAGGTGTGCTTAAAGTCACAATATTATGGGTTGAAATCTCCTCTGTTTCTGTGGGGATTGAGGCATGATCTGCAGGGTGTAAACCTTCACTTACTCCAGTGTTTTCTAGAGATGGTGAAGATTCAGTCATTACATCAGAGGATTTCCAGGACTCATCAACACCTGTAATCAAGAAGGTAGTTGTGTAGAAATTGACATCTTCGATAGCTTTATTGGCACTGACATTTTCAGGTTCTGTAGTTGGTGTTAGACCAATGTCCACTTGTCTAACTCCTTGATCAGGCATTCTAGTTGGTACACTTATCTGTGTGTAGTGAATGGCAGAGGTTGTGGTTGGAGTATCGGCCCTGCTGATTTCAATATGGTTGGAATGGTCTGTGGTGACAATAGTTTCATCTTCTACTTGCATTGATCTGTCAAGCTTCTCACCTTCCTCTGTGTTTTCTGATACAATGGGATAGCCATCTACCCAGGTTTCATCCGTGTTAGCAATAGTTTCCTCAATAACTTTAGTTATGGATGAAACAATGGATGGTTCAGCAGGTAAATCTTTGCCTTGAGCTGTTTGGACTCCTTTGATAACATCAGTCTTCACCCCAATTTGATTATCACTTGAAGTAATTTGGAGCTTGGACTTCATTTCTGGTTCCTTGGTATCTGGCTGCTCAGTGTTGGGAAACACTTCAGAAGGGAACCAAAATAGATGCTTCTGGCTGAGTAATGAAATTGGTGACTCAGTTGATTTAGGTGTTTCTTGGCCATCCTCTCCTATTGATCCATCAGTACCTTCATCTAGTTCATCGCCCATACCTGTCTCACCATTCTCCGAAACAATGATTCTGCCTTGCTCATTAAGATCAGAAAATGACATTGAGTCTTCATCAGGGAACTTGTCTTCATAGTCAACATGTCCCTCAGTTTCACCTTTTTTAAAAGAAAAACAAGCATGCTTTAACTAAATTTACTTGGATTTAGCTTTCAAGGGTAAGTAAGTTGTGATTTTCATGCAATGTAGAAACTGGCATACAGATATTAATTTCATTGAGAAATTTTAGTTTCTTTCAGCTATGGGTAGATATGTGTTAGTATTCTCAAATGAATGGTTTCTGAAATACATTTATATCACATGTGGTATAATGAGTTGAAAGTTCATTTGCAATGTTGGTTTTAGCTTGCACTCTTCTGGAGTGCAAGCCTCCTATCCCACTATCAATAGGAGGAGGTAGGAGATAAGGTATCCTGTCCCTGGTCTCTGCCCCATCTTAATAAAAATCCTGTATTGGATTCCCATCCAAAACGAGAGCTCCACAGCCAAGGCCTCTGATTATCCAAGCACCGTTCCAAATGTTGGAAAAACTCATGAGCTGAATTGTACTTTTGTTTTAGCTCAGTCCAAGTTCTGTTGAGACTTTTGGAGGGGTTGTTGCCACAATGAGTCCTCTCTCTGTATCTAAACAAACTCACTACATTAATGCCCCGATGGTGTGTTTCCCATCCAATTTCCACTCTGTCTTGCCACACACCATTCCCACAACTCACCACTTAATAGATGTCTGGCCAAAGGTCAGCATCCCTTGCATCTGTGCTATCTTTAAAATGTGGCAGTGCACCTGTCATTTGCATTCCAAATCTACTGTGCTAATTGAAGGGCCTGTCCACAAAATGTCCTTAGACCATAAGATTTAGGAGCAGAATTGGGCCATTCGGCTCATCAAAGTTGCTTTGCCATTTAATCATGGCTGACATGTTTCTCAACCCCATTTTCCTGCATTCCTCCTCTAACCTTTGATCCCCCTTATTAATCAAGTGCCTATTTCTGACTTAAATACGCTCAATGTCTTGGCTTCTACAGCCTTTTATGGCAATGAGTTCCACAGATTCTCCACACCCTGGCTGAAGAAATTCCTCTTAGTTCTAAAGGGTCAGCATTGCACTCTGAGGCTGTGCCTTTGGGTCCTAGTCTCTCTTACCACTGGAGTCATCTTCTCCATGTCCACGGCTATCCAGGGCACTCAGTATTCTGTAAGTTTAAATGAGATCTCCCCTTGTCCAGATTGTAATGTATAATGTGATCCCAAAATGGACCACTTTGAAACTCCAATAGTCACCAGCTGCAATCCTGTAAATGACCCCTTTATCCATACTCTGCTTTTTGCCAGTCAGCTAATCCTCTATCTATGCCAGTACCTTGTCCCTAACATGATGGGTTCTTACCTTATTTCAAAGCCTCCTGTGCAGCACCTTGTCAAAAGCTTTCTTGAAATCCTAACAGATCAGTTCCATTGGCTATCCTTTGTCTAACTTGCTTGTTACTTAAAGGAATTCTATCAGATTTGTCAGGCATGACGCCCCTTGAAGAAACCATGCTGATACAGCCTTATTTTACCATGTACTTACAAGTACTGCGCAATCTTATCCTTAATGATGGACTCTAAAATCTTACCATTGAACCAAGGGAGGCTAACTGGCCAGTAGTTTCCTATCCTCTCATCTCTCCCTTCTAATTTTCCAGTCATCTGGTACCCTCCCTTACTCCAGTTATTCATGAAAGATCATTACCCATGCCTCCAAAATCTCCGCTCCGAATCCAAAGCTTATTGCCTTTTTGGTTCTGCTTTCTAATTTAGCCCCTGACTGCTCATATTCCCTCAGCAGAGCTGAATTCTTCTTTCTACCTAAATTACTGGTGCTTAAAGGAACCACAACAACTGGATGTTTCCCCTCTCACTCCAAGGGACTCTGTAGCCCAGATGAGATATCTTGAGCCCAGCACCAGGCAGGCAACATAGCCTTCAGAATTGTTGATCTTGGCCATGGAGAACAGTATCTATTCCCTTGACCACACTATCACTGATTACAACTACATTTTTCTGCCCTCTGTTGCATAGCTCCTTGTACAGTGGTGCTTTGGGCAGTTTGCTCATTGGCCCTACAGCCCCCCACTCTTGCCCCCTGCGTGGACAAAAATCTCAAGCCTGTTAGACAAGCTCAAGGGCTGAGGCAACTCCAGCACTACCTCTTTGCTACCTGCCTCGCTCATAGTTACACCCTCCTTTGTAGTCGCACCTTTCCTGACAACTGACTAAATTTGAGGTAGTTGATCTAAGGGGTGTGACTGCCCCCTGAAACACAACATCATTTTCTGAAGAAGGGTCCAGACCCGAAACATCAGCTTTCCTGCTCCTCTGCTGCCTGGCCTGCTGTGTTCATCCAGCCTCACACCATTTTATCAAGGTAATACTCCTCCTCCCTATGTATTGCAGTGATCGAAGTTCAAATTCCAGCTCATCAGTTCTGAGCTGGAGTTCCTCAAGCAACCAACACTTGCTGTGAATGTGGTCACTATGAAGTCTAGCCTCTTTTCATAGCTGAATCACACCAGCCCAAGCAACATCCTGGTGAATCCTTTCTGCACCCCCTCTAATGTAGCCACATCCTTACTATAATGTAGCAATCAGAACTGCACACAGTACTCCAGCTTTGGCTTAACTTACATTATATACAACTCCATCATAACCACCTTATTCTTGTATTCAAGGCATTGACTAATAAAGTGTCCAAATATGTTCGTACCTACCTGTCTTGCTGTCTTCGAGGATCTATGCATATACACACCACGTCCCTCTGGTCCTCTCTAGTTCCTAGGGTCCAACTATTCAATCTTTGCTCCCTTGTTAGTCCTCCCAAAATGTGTCACCTCACTCCATTGGCACTGTTTGGCCTATCTGACCAGTCCGTTTATATCATCCTATACCCGAAGGCTTTCCACCTTGCTATTTACACCAGCAGTTGTCTTGGAATTTTACCAAAAAATGTGAAGAAGAGAAAAAATTTCACCTAGTAATTATTGAGATTACACGAGCAAAGACAGTACGAGAATTGAACATACTCCCCATACGTGACTAACAAATGGAACTCTACTGTTGTTTCTGAGTTGCATAAGATTTGTTTGTTGAATATGGTGACATCAGTGATGCTGTTACACTGAATAGTATTAGACTCGAAGACTAGTTCAAATGTCAGAAACATTCCAGTCAGTTTAATATTGATGCTGAACTAAAAATACTTAAATATAAACAGAAAAATTAAACTTTTAATATTATTTTTTGTCCTCCAGTAATGTGAGAGAAACCAAACATAATTCACTAATGTCTTTTGGGGAAGGAAATCTGCTTTTCTTACCTGGTTTGGTCTACATGGGACTCTAGGCCCACAGAAATGTGGTTGACTCTTAACTGCCCTCTGGGCAATTGGGGATGGACAATAAATGCTAGCCTGTGCATCACGGCCTCCAAACACTTTTTTTTAAGGTAATTACGATTAAAATAAAGCAGTTATCAAATTATCAATTTGAAGTTTTTGCTTTTACTTGCAATAAATTGTGAAAGATTTCTTCTCCTCATTTGAACCAGTCCAACTGCAGAAAGTTAGTTTTGGCACGGGCAATCTGGCCAATCTGCTGAAGGTATAAATGCTTCTATTCATCAGTCTGACATCAAAGAAAACAAATTTGGTTTCCCCTATTCTAAGTTTCATGTTTCCTTTTCCAGAATGACACTAATGGGTGTGTTCAATATTGGGTAATAATTTCTGTCTGGCTTGAGGTTACCTTTGTAGAAAGTAACCTGGCCTCATTGTCGACATTTAGCAAGGAAATGTGATGGTGGTTATATTTAGCAGCTGTAAATGCTGCAAGTGAACGGTACTTCATTTCTCCTCCTCCAACCCATTGAATTATTTTCAATTGCATGAAGGACAGAATGCAGTTCCATATTTAGTCATGAAACATGTATCATCCTCCTGGTTTCTTTTAAAGCCACATTTTATGACACGCAGTCATCATCTTAATCAACCTCCACGAGCTTAGAAAGGTGAACTTTATTACAAGATGAATGCAAGATAAATTTCCCTGCAAACAGTGTATCTGGGCAGCCCTCTCTTGCGTGCTTTCTCTTTTCTCTCTCTCTCTCTCTTTTCGTCCCCCACCCCCCATCTGTTTATGACTGCATCAACAAGTGAACATTTCTATATAAGAATAAGATTGGCAATAACAGCATGATCTCAGTCCCAAATGGCCTCACTTCACAGCTCAGCTGTGGTAAACTGTTTTGCCGTATATGCCTGTCCCTGCTAATACAGAGTGAATAAAGGACGACTCCAAATTCACACTTTTGCCTCCTGTCCAGGGTAAGCTCAATGTTTCTGTGTTTTCAGTGGAACACTGTGTTCATTCATGCCAAGAAAGGAAGCAGGAAACATGAACTATGAGCAATCATTGTACCTTTGAATGTCCCTCAGCTACTTGCCAGCTTGTATTACTTTGCACCTATGACATAATCCGAAAGGGACCTTGTTGAGCCAACTTATATCTGAGATAGATACCTATAATATCTCAACAAGAATCTTGTAAGAGTATATAGCCTATATATATATTTTCTAAAACTGAATTTGTTCAGTAGTTTTCACAATGCCAGACTGTTAGAACCACAGAAAAGGTATGTCACAGAAAAAGGCCATTCAGCCCAATTTGTCTGCTCTGATTTGAATAAACTAGCAACCTGTTCTGGTCCCACTTTCCAGCTCCTGGTCTGTCGCCTTTCAGGTTACAGAGCTTCACAGATTTAGTGTGGACATATGCACAGGGTTGATTCTGAATGGAATTTAAATCAAAGCATTTGTTAGGACATAATTAGAAAGTTGAGCTAATCGGAACACATCAGTCTGGGAAGTTGGAAAAATGTGAGGTTATGCATTTTTGTAGGAAGCATAGAAGAGCTGAATATTATTTAATTAGCAAAAGACTGCAGCATAGAGGAATTTGGGGTTCCTTACACATCAAACACAGAAAGCGAGTACATAAGTTCAGCAGGAATAGGAAAGCCTTTATTTCAAAGGGAATGGAGTATAAAAATAGGGAACTCTTGCTAAAACTATACAAGATACTAGTCAAACCATACCTGAAATATTGTGAACAGTTTTCATCTCATTATCTAAGGAAAGATATACTGGCATTGAAAGCGTTCTAGAGAAGGTACGTTAGGTTGATCGTAGCTATCGAGAGATTTTCTTACAAGGTGAGGTTGAGTTCAGTGGCTTGCACTGATTGGAGTTTAGAAAAATGAGATATTGAAAAATATAGGATTCTTAGGGCTTGGCAAAATCGATGCTGAGAATGTGTGTCGTCTTCTGACAGAATCTAGGATCAAAGGGTATAATCATAAAGTATGAAATTGTCCATTTAAGACAGACATGAGAAGGAATTTCATCTCTAAATGTATTGAATTGTAGTGGAATTCATTCCCACAGACAGCTGTTAAGGATGAAATGTTAGATATGTCCAAGGCTGAGGTAGATAGATTTTCACTAAGGAACTCAAGGGTGATGAGGAAAAGTCAGCAAAGGGGATTTGGTTGTTCAATCACCCATGATCTTATTTTATGGTAGAGCAGACTCAACAGGTCAAATGACCTACTCATACTTCTTTATCTTACGGGCTTATGACCTTAAGTTCCAGGCTCAAATGCAGGTTTGTTTTAACTGAGTTGAGGGGCTTCACCTCAGGTACCAAAGTAGGAAGTGAATTTCAGATACCCACTGCCCTCTGTGTGAGAGAAAGGTTTTCCTCTAAAATAATTAAAATAGACGTGGCTAACAGATGACATGGAATCCCTCAAATTCCCTCTAATTCTTCTAACAAATACTCTGATATCCCCTGGTAATTGATTCTATCCAAGTCCTTCATTATTTTGTACAGCTTTAAGTCACCCTTCAGCTTCCTCTGTTCTAAGGAAACAAACCCTAGCCTATTTCCCCTCCCCCAACCCTCCAAATGCATAACCTTGAAGTTCTATGGTGTTTCAAAGCACATTACAGCCAATGAAGATAACACATTGTGGAGCTGGAGGAACACAACAGGCCAGGCAGCATCAGAGGAGCAGGAAGGGCCTTCAGAAAGGGTCCTGACCCGATACATCAGCTTTCCTGTTCCTCTGTTGCTGCCTGGCCTGCTCTGTTCCTCCAGCCCCACACTATGTTATCTCTGATACCAGCATCAGCAGGTCTTACTGTCTCTTACAGCCAATGAAGTACTGTTGAAGATCAGTCATTATTGCAAATGTAGGAAACGCAGGAGTCAATGTAGACATAAATGGCTCCAAAAGATATCCACAGCTCTGATTTCATGTAACAAAATGTATGTTAATTGGATTTTACTATATTCCTGTGACTATACAAAAATGACAATGGCCCAGATTGTGATATGACACTGATACTGAAACTGTCAGCTTTCAGCAACATACTCCACTGAAGCTAACAGCAACTACTAGAGTGTAATGTGCAGAATAACATGGAAATTCAGGTACTGCTGACTGTTTCTGTATTTCTCCAAAGCCTATGTGGTTGAAACCTCCCTGAGGATATCAATTGAATTGATAACTCTTAATTTTACATGTAGTCTCATTGTAAAAATCCTCAAAAACGTTATGCCTTCAAAATTACTCCGAAACATCCTCACTGGCCCAGAAAATTTTATATTTTAAATTCATTAATATGTTGATTTTTTAAAAAAATTACATTTGTAGATTGTCAGATTTCTCTACAATCATTAAAAATAACCAGAGTTCCTAAAGTAAAAGCATTAAAAGATTATTATTAGTTTAGCTTCAACCATAATCCAACCATGATAACTTAATTAAAATTTTCAGATATGAAAATAAAAGTTAAGGATATTAATTGGTTTTAACTTGCTAGCTTGTGTGAGAATACTTCAATATAGTTGGCACTTTATTTACTTGCTGCTGCATGCAAAACATCCCCCTGGCATTAGATTTAAACTTCTTTCAAGAAAGGGAAAATCCTTTTCACACATTAGAACTTTGTGAGCAACATTCTCAAGGTCAATGTCAAATATCTTTGCTCCATTCTGGACCATAAAATTTAGTAATTAATAAAGTCGAGAGTAATATCATTAGACTGGCAACATCAGTCAGGTTCACCTCCAAACATAGATATCTCTTCCCTCTGCTTTTAAATGTGCACGAAAAGATGGCTTCCAACAATTAGTGAGCAATTTTTTTAAAAGTCTATATAGAAGATAAAACCGTTTCCAAACCATTGGTATAGGCTGTCAGTTAGCTCTGATGATGAAATTGACCAATTTGATATGTGATCCCGTGCCATCCACTTGTTAGCCACATCTACTTTAATTTATTTTAAAGTTGGATTGAAGTCTACAACAAACACTTTATTTGTTATATTTATACTATCTGTGACCCTCTTAAGTGAAATTAGTTTTAAATTGAATGGGAGAGGAGTGCGAGAAATTCTTCCAAATAAAGTGTCAAAAATTCTAACCTACTAAGAAGATTTGCCCTTAGAATCCCTGAAAGCATGATGTTTATTTTCAAGAGGGATCTATCTTTTTTTAGTTCCAAACCCCCAACTGTGCTTTGGTGTTTCTCCAAAAAAAATGTTAAATATTTGGTTAACCTATTAAATGCCCATAACCTGCTGTACTTTCAGCATGGTACTTTGTTTTCATGTGTCATAAGAACTGTTTAAAGATTAGGGGTGGGTTAGTTCCATTGGTTGGTCTGCAAGTTTGCAAAGCAGAGTGATACCAACAGCATGGGTTCAATTCCTGCACCAGCTGAGGTTACTATGAAGGACTCTCCTTCTTAACCTTTCCCCTCTCCTGAAGCACGGTGATGCTCATGTTAAGCCATCACCAGTTGTCTCCCTCTAATGAGGAAGCAGTCATATGATCTGGTAAGACTGTGGCGACCACTTTTATTCAAGATTGTTCTTCAGCAGTAAGTATTCTCTGGGGATTATGTCACCTTAATATTCTAAATTGGCCCGTATACTTTTAACCATTAGTGTTAACTTGCATTTATCTACGTAAATCATCATTAATGCTAAGGGACATCTTATCAGTGAATTAGTCACTGAAGTTTAATTTAGGCCACTGTTTAGCTAAATCACAATAATTATAATAATTACCCTATTCGCTGAAAGATGGCCCCATTGCCCAGAATTGAGTTGACAGGCATCAGTTCCTATATTTATAGTCTGAAGGAGACACAGATTTATTTTAAAGGATTCTTATATGGTTCATATGCTGGTAAATACACAGTGCACAGTGTTTAATGATACCTCAAAGATTTCTTTGCTACTTAGAAATAGCCATAAGCTCTAACAAATTCTTATAACTATTCAGTGACAGATGAGTTGTAAATAGACTGTACTAGAACCCTCTTCACTATCTACACTGATCAATAGTCCAATAAAATGTGGTATTTCTCAGAAAATGACCATGCTGTATTGGAATTAATATTTGTTTTTGGCAATGAGCCACTTTCTGTGACAGCTGTAGTTTTGTTCACATGGAATGGAATAGGGTTATGTTACACAAGGATGGAAATCTGACATACAATTGCATCTAGGAGTGTGTTAACACATATACTTTCATATTCCAAGACCACGGTTTGAAGAAAACATTTCTTGATTTTTAAAATTAAAACCATTTCAATTGGTAAACTTTCAGCTACTTGTCTATGTTTAAAGCAAGCATCACTATGTATGTTCAGTGTTGATATCAGGGCCATAACTACAAAATGTTGTACTCCCTGAACACATCACCTCTATTATGAAGAAGTTCTGATATATTGTAAAACATCATTTAGATGACCCAAAAGCCCTAGTTCATTCTGATTTAAACCCATGCATGATGAGAAACAAAAGAAATTTATTTTACAAGCAGATCTTTAATATTTCAGTTTTGGGACGGTGCAACTTACTGACTAGCCAACATGCAGAATGTCCCAAAGTCGATACCACAATGCCTCCAATCAGTGATCCTGTTGGATGTTAGTATTTAGTGATGTGCATTTTCTCTCACCTTTCATACAGGCTTGAACGAATCCATACCATTCTCCACAGCTATCACACAGCAGGCTAAAGGCTCTCTCCCTGTTGGCCATGACGTAACCTTGGGCACAGACATAAAGCAGCTCATCACCCATTTCAATTCCAGTGTGGCCCTGGAGAATGGTATTGGGAAAGGACGGAGGGTCTCCACAAGGCTTACCTGCAAGGAAAGGAAGATGTTTAGTGATATGTCAAGTATGAAGCAGTCACTCAAATCAGTTTTATTCCCTCTGTAGATTTCACCTTCTGTGTGCTTATCTCTGACAATGCAGAGTTCTGGCATTAGTGAGGAGGATCCTGCCGACTATGTTTCCTCTTCTTATGGTCTTATGATGGTTAACTTTTGATGATAGATCAAAGAGAATACATTTTAGATCCGAGGCTGTATGTATTTGAGGCTGCAACAGTGAAGCTTGTTCTCCATGAAAGAAGTCTATATTACTCTAGTTCACATACCACAAGGTTAATACATAACGCCCTCAGGAAAATTAACAGAGGGCAGAAGGTGTGGCCTATAATATGATTCACCTTAAGTGAAACGATTACTACAATTATCACATTCAGAGATTTCTGGAGAGAGGGTTATTTGCTTGCATAGGCTGAACTTCGCCAGTGATGATACATTTAGTAGGTAGTCACGGGGAAAGAAGTAGGAAAGAATGTCAACGCTGTTCCTGACACTGTCCCACCCCGGGTGACATTCCCTTGGGGGGAGGTTCTCACGATAATTGGCAGCCCTCTCCATTGATACAGACAACGAAGACCCCAGTCAGGAGTAACTTTCCCTCAAAACTGCAACTTTCCCAGGTGTTACATTTGCGAGCCCAATAAGACTGCAGAGGAGGCTTCTTGGCAGGAGGTCAGCAGGCCATGGATGACTGAATTAAGTAGCAGCTTCAGACAGTCATTAATCTTATGAGTCTAGGAAAGCCACTGGAGCTCTCCTGGAGGCATTACCTCTCCATCCTAAGACCCCTTTGTCCTCATTTTCGCCAGTGAAGAGGGACAGCTTCATTAGCATGTCTCCCTTGAGGTACCTCCTAACTCTCCCCCCTCTCCAGTAGCACTTGCTTCTCCAATGAATCTGCTAGCCAACTAGCCATTAGTAAGGGCCTTCCTCTTATAGCTCCCACTTTTCTAGGCTGTCTGCCAATCTCATTTGTCTGGCAAATGAGTTAATGTTCAATTACCATGCCACCTCACATCAAGTTGCACCAGCAAGTGCTCTGAGGCCATGATCAATCCGGTAGCTGCATATTCTCCAGACACCCATGGGAAAGTACAGCCCCATGTTCCGAATGTGGAATCTTTCCATCTGGGAGAATTGCATAGTGGGAATATTTATATATAGTCTCCAATTCTACACCAAAATCTAAAATACAGGAAATCACAGGAAGAAATCACCAGTCAGCAGTACAATTTTTCAATAAGAGCCCAGGAAACTTTTTGTGTATTGGACAACTCATAAATATGGGGTCAATACATATGCCAAACATATACACCTATATATAAACGCATAGGCCAATAAATGTTCACACCAACAAACCAGGATGCATGGATAATGGAATATATAATAAACAGACATTCGTAAATCAAAAATTATATTTGCATAGACTAATGAATTAGTTGCATAGAGCTTATTTCTATAAGCTTATGAAATATGTAAGTCAACAACAATGGACAAGCAAGCCTACAAGTATGGAGTCTGTGATATAAATGTACATAAATCAATTCAGCATAAAGGATCAATAACAGTGACCAGTGATGCTGTATCAGTGACCTGGGCCAGTCTTTTACTGTCACTTGATTAACCAAGGCAAAACTGCACTCAGCTCCTAGCAGTGTAAACTTCGATGTGTAATTTCAAAGCCACACTTTAAGAGTGAGAGAGCAGCTGATTTGTTTAGGGGGTGGTGTTAAAGTATTGGGTGACCTCACTTGCACCTGAGCCAATGTTCCACTTGCAGTATAATCCTGATCTATTGGGTGTACCTAGCACTTCACTGGTTATGCATTTTAGACATTGGCTACATTCCAAATCAAAGGTTTCTGCTGACATCATGATTGGTGTGATTAAATTATAACCATGTATATTTGCCAGGGAGATTTCTTTACAAATTAATCGTAAGAGATAATGTTTATGCTTGGATCCAGCAATAGTTTACTGGTTCTGATTGTTGTTTTGGCAGTGTTTCTCTTCAGCAACTGGACATAACTTTGTAACTAATTACTACAGATCAATTACATGGGAGAACATTGTTCAAGTAAGGGAATGGTATGCACAAACACAATAAGATAATATACTATGACATAGTCCAGCTCAACAGTAACATTAACTTGCAGGACATCACTGTGAGATTCATTGGCAGTGCCTGTCTTGTTTAGTAGGAATGTGGATCAGGAGAAGGGTCTGAAAACACAAAACCACTGTTTTTCCACAGATGCTGTTTGACCTGCTGAGTATTCTCAACTTTTTTGATCTATGCTATTAGATCAGAGAATAGAGAGGGAGATTAGTTGCATTCTCAAACATCCAGCCATGCTGACTTCCACATCTGAATAAGACTTGGCTTTGAGAGCAGACTCCCCACTTTGAGGTTTCCGTGCCAAAACATGCCCAAAGAATTCACTTTCTCTGCAAGTTTTTTTTTTATTTTGTGTCCATGTTGTTTGTATTAACTCTCAAGTTAAATAAATACAGAACGATCTATTTATATCACACCTCTTGCAGCTGCAGAATGCCTTAAAGCACCTTGCAGCCAATGAAATACTTCTGAATTGTAATGTTGGAACTATGCAGCCAATTTGTGCAAAGCAAGATTCTACATCTAATGACATAGTGACTAAATAATTGTGGGGTTCATTGAAGATTAATATTTACCAGACACCAAGAAAGTTGCCCTATTCTTCCAATCATGTCTTAGGATCATTTACATCCATCCAAGAACACAGATGGAGCCTTGGTTTAACAACTGCTCCAAAAAATGACACATCTAACAGAGCAGCAATCTTTTAATACTGCATGGGGAGTGTCAACTATAGTATATGTTTGTGTGTGGAATGGAATACAGATCCAGAATGCCATAAATGTACATAATTTATTGCTTGATCAAAGTAACAGCTCAAATTGGGAGTATTGGGAAGAAAAAGTGTTCAGAAAGGAAGTTTGTGAAGCTTTTAAAATATTTTTAAGAATTGTTGCCTTGTTTGTTGGCTGGATGCTATGCTTGAAGTAAATGTTGCTGCTTCAGGAGGTTATTTCAGAGACCATTATTCCCAATGTCAATGTTAAACGCTACTAGGAAATAGTAGCTATGTTGGGTGTAATCTTCCAAAATGCCTTAGATTCTGTTAAATGGAGCTGATTTATGCACAATTGAGCTTCAAGAATTTTATTGGGACAGAACCTGATATCATATTAAATAGTACCATCATCTAACATGCAGGCTGATTGACTAAAGTTCAAACAAGATAAAAAGTAATCAAATAGCACTGTAACTTCATTGAACAAATCTTAAAATTTAATATAAAAACAAGCCAATTTTAAATAGCTAATTCCCCGATTCATTTCAGTCCTATTTTTTAAATAAGGTGTTATCACTTCAACATTTAACCATCTCCTCTGAATACCTAACAAGTTCAAGGTGAGCCTACCAATTATCAAATAACCATTTCATTTTAAACAATATTGAAATAGATGAAGTCATTATTCTGTGAATCTTATGAAATAAACAAATGGGAACGAACAAAGGATTCACTAGTTAATTGATGTCTGGTATAACATGGTTTATTGAGATGTGATTTCATGCTTGCATTATTAACCAGAGATTAGATAATAACAGACTAAAACTATTTCTAGCTGAGTCCACAGACAATCTGTATGATTATAGCCCATCCTGTCTATACCTCTGTAATCAATCTCTGCCTGCAGTGTGTTTCTGGACATCCTATTATTCAACAGGAGTTGCCTGCTTTCTGCAATGTTCCAGGGCAACCAGTAAATCACAGCTCTTACCCACAGCCAAACAGTCATTTCCAGCTTCCTCGGTATAAGTACAACCAGCAGCTCAATACTTTCAGACACTGTGACAATCACAACTATCCTGAAAATGTTACTGGCAAAAACACCTCACATAACGGCAACCCTTTGCAAAAAAAAGTAATAACAGAGACCTTAAAGCAGGCTTTCAGAATGGTTGCACATAACAAATATTTACAAAACATCCCAAGGTGCTTCGCAACCATGTTAGAAACCAAAGTTTGACACGAATCGCATAAGGCACTGTTATGGCAGATGGTGAAAATCTCAATGAAGTAGAGTTTTAAAGAGCATCTTAAAGAAGGAAAGCAAGGTAGAGAGGCCGAGAGTTTTCAGGAGGGAATTCCAGAGCTTGGGACCCAGGCAGTTGAAAGTGCATCCACCAATGTGGAGTGATTAAATCCAGGGATGAAGTTGGAGAAGAGACTTATGACAATAATGAAATGTTGTTTGAATGACTTTTGAAATCTGGCCTGCATAATTCAGACACTACTGCCTATCATCCTCTCAATTCCCCATTAAACTGTTGTCCACATTCAACCATTGGTAAAGCACTATTCTCTGTTAACAGGATTGATACTTGGAATATTAAAATTTAATCATTAAAATAACACTTTAATAACAGGTAAACACATTTGACAGCTGTCCTACACACAACAGATCAGCAGAAGAATAATTTGTCCACGATATTGAGCCACAAAGACAAATAGTTTCTATCCCTGATTTCTACTGCATTATGTCATCTCAGCCAGAATAATGATTTACACTCCTGCAGAATTCCTGGACCAGAAAGGAGAAGTATTGGCAATGATCCTTGATCCTAACCATCGTTCTGTGAATCCTCCACCAAAAGATAGATGAGTGAGAGTACAGGCTAGGATTTTAATATTTAGCGAAACCTGCCTGATCATCAGAATGTGGGATCACACTGAAGGAAGGTATCTGGGATCCATGGAATTGCATCCAAGCATTGAATCGCAAAGTACTGAAGCAGAGGGGATATCATTCAAAAGGAGAAAGAAATCTTAAATAAGATTACTTGAGCTAAATCTTAGATTTTTTTTGGGTAAGTGCAAGTTTCATTAATCATTTTGGAGGCATTGTCACTGTAAGGCCCAGCAAGATTTCTTGCTGTACCTTCCCAACCTCACCTTATTAATTACTCACACTGCTGCGATGTCATCCCCCATTTCTGATTCTAGCCCCATCTGAACCAATACCATCCCCAAAACAACTCATTACTTGCCAGATATCCGCTGAATGTCCAGCATCCTATGTCATGTTTGAAAAGCCTCTGTTCACCGGGCAAACATTGGCAATCCAGCATTGCCCTTACCTAGCAATGTAATGGCACAGCAGCCACAAAGCCACACTACTCATGGCAGACAGCTAGCATGGCTGACTCTCCCTGGCATCTACAAGACCATTCTCTCACCCTCGTCACTGTTTAACCACCATGCCACACAGTTTACCTGTCATTAGCTACATCCTATCTAACCACTCTCTCCAAGTTACTGCTATTCTGTCCCTAATCCACTGGGCACATGTCTCGTCTTTGCCCAGTAGGGGAATATCTCATACAGGTAAGTAATCGGGCAATTCGAAACATGAAATTTTATTGACAGAGTGAACGCAAATGAAACAAATAAAGGCTGTATTTTATCCTCGTAATGTCTACCAAATGCTGACATGATAACAACAACAATTCAACATTCCGTGATGATCTTCTGCATACAGCTCTGATTTGCTGGAACCGGGTGTCAATCAGACCCTATCTGGCTTGAAGCCCCCATTGCAACTGAGCACCGAAAGTCCCCAAACCCACCTTGCACCCTTCCAGATGATTGATGGATGGGCCCCCAGGATTTTATTTTATTTTATTCATTTTATGGGATGTAGGTGTTGCTAGCTGGCCAGCATTTCCTGCCCATCCCTAGTTGCCCTTGAGAAGGTGGTAGTGAGCTGCCTTTTTGAACCACTGCAGTCCTCCTGCTGTGGGTTGACCCACAATGCTATTGGGGAGTGAATTCCAGGTTTTTGACCCAGCGACAGTGAAGGAACAGCAATATATTTCCAAGTCAGGATGGTGAGTGACTTGGAGAGGAACTTGGAGGTGATGGTGTTCCCATATATCTGCTGCCCTTGACCTACTAGATGGAAGTGGTCGTGGGTTTGGAAGGTGCTGTCTGAGGATCTTTGATGAATTACTGCAGTGCATCTTGTAGATAGTACACACTGCTGCTACTGAGCGTCGGTGGTGGAGGGAGCGGATGTTTGTGGATGTAGTGCCAATCAAGCGGGCTGCTTTGTCCTGGATGGTGTCAAGCTTCTTGAGTGTTGTTGGGGCTGCACTCATCCAGGCAAGTGTGGAGTATTCCATTACACTCCTGACTTGTGCCTTGTAGATGGTGCACAGGCTTTGAGGAGTCAGGAGATGAGTTACTTGCCGCAGTATTCCCAGCTTCTGGCCTACACTTGTAGCCACTCTGTTAATGTGGTGAGTCCAGTTGAGTTTCTGGTCAATGGTAACCCCCAGGATGTTGATAATGATGGTTACACCGTTGAATGTCAAGGGCAGTGATTAGACTGTCTCTTATTGGTGATGGTCATAGCCTGGCATTTGTGTGGCACGAATGTCACTTGCCACTTGTCAGCCCAAGCCTGGATATTGTCCAGATCCTGTTGCATTTGAACATGGACTGCTTCAGTGTCTGAGGAGTCATGAATGGTGTTGAACATTGTGCAATCATCGGTGAACATCCCCACTTCTGACCTTATGATGGAGGGAAGGTCATTGACGAAGCAGTTGAAGATGGTTGGGCCTAGGACACTACCCTGAGGAACTCCTGCAGAGATGTCCTAGAGCTGAGATGATTGACTTCCTACAACCACCACCATCTTCCTATGTGTCAGGTGTGACTCCAACCACTGGAATGTTTGCCCCCGATACCTACTGCTCCTTGATGCCACACTCGGTCGAATGCAGCCTTGATATCAAGGGCTGTCAGTCTCACCTCATTTTCTCCAGAACTCTGACCAACTTTGATGAGCAAAACCTAGACCTGACTGACCAGCCTTGACCAGTGAGTTAGCAGCTCCTTGACTGGTGATACACCACTTCCCTCATGCTGGTCCTGGCTCTATAGGGCAGAATGCTGCTCGCTCCCCACACAGCAGTGAGACAGGCCCCTGACTGTGAGCATACCAAGCGGATGGCAGGCAGTGGCCTCTTGTACTGTTCATGGACTGTGTCATTAATGGCACTGGACTTCACTGGCCAACAGTGCCTGCCTCCACCGGGCTGCATGAGGACTAGCCCATTTAAGTCATAGCCATTTGGTTGAATAAACAGACAGTGTGTCTGTCATGCAGACATCTGGCACTTAGTGTAGGTGTTAAATTGATGTCTCAGTTTGCGGTACGGGGGAGGCGATGGCCTAGTAGTATTATCGCTGGACTATTAATACAGAGACTCAGATAATGTTCTAGGGACCCAGGTTCGAATCCCACCACGGCAGATGGTGGAATTTGAATTCAATAAATATCTGGAACTAAGAGTCTAATGATGACCATGTCGATTGTCGATTGTTGGAAAAACCCATCTGGTTCACTAATGTCCCTTAAGGAAAGAAACTGCCATCCTTACCTGGTCTGGCCTACATGTGACTCCAGACCCACAGCAACGTGGTTGACTTGTAACCTCTGGGCAATTAGAGATGGGCAATGAATGCTGCCTAGCCAGCAAGACCCTCATCTCATGAATGAATAAAGGATGTACTGCTGGATAGATCCTGACTAACAAGCATTACAAGCAGCCTGTCTATGGCTGCACAAGGGAGGACATTAATATGACAGTACAGGTAGTCTTTGTCTCTGGTTAAAATGCCAATGCACTAACATACATGGCACGGCACAGTAAGGCAAGGCATGGATGCTGCCAATGTGCAGGTAGGCGCTAGGTAAGTTAATGCTAACGGAGCAAGCAAATGGCCCTGAGAAAGAGTGTCCTGATCTTGGTCGTACACAGCCTGGCCCTAATTTTAAGACTGTGCCCCTTGGGTTTTTATTTCCTCACTTGAGGAATTCTTTTTGTATCTAACCTATCACAGTCTTCAAACATTTTAAGCACATTGATCAGATGTTCCTCAATAGAAAAATGGAATCCAAGCCAAGTTTTTGAAACTTGTCTTCAAACATTAACCCTCTTCTTGATAACATTCTGGTGAATATATACTGCACCCTCTCCAAGGCCAATATACCCTTCTTCAGATGTCCTGCCTACAACTGAATGCAGTTGTGCCAGATGACATTTAATCAAGGCTCCATTTTCAACAAGTCATGGAATTTAATCTTCCTGAGAGCTTTACTGAAAAAAAGAGTGCATCAAATCCAAAGTAAGATTAGAACTTAGTATATTTTACAGAATGATCATGGCTGACAGGACTGTACTGACAAATATTTCTATAAAACAATAAAAGCAAACTGCACTAAACTGGATACTTATCAAACTACTCCATTTCTAGTCAGACTGGGTTGATCATACTCAGGCCAGAAAAATTGATTAACTGAACCACAAGTCTAAGCCAGTGGAAGACCTGCCTCTCAACCTTCTTCAAAATCTCTGCACATACGTTTCCCTCCTCTTTATCTTACATCAGTCCACAGCAAGAATCTTAAAGGTGCAACAACAATTTAATTTAAAACATCTTCAGTATAACTGATTTCCTCTGTGGAAACATCCCAAAATATAACACACTTTGTTACCAGTTTAAAAGATTAACATTTGACAGTGTGGATTGATGCAGCACTGACCTTGATCTTTAATGCAGAATGAATCATATGGACCAGGTGAAGAAGCTGCTTCAGTTTTAACTCGAATGGTTTGGATGTCCTGTTGGTTGAACCCCATGTTACTGCATATGGTTATCCTGTGTATGAATTGAACACATTGATTACTTCAAATCTAGATTGTGAACTATTTTTAAAATTTACATTCAATTTCTTCTTCACCTTGTTTCACTCTCAATTTAATTCCCATTAAAGGGCATCCAGCCCTTCATTCTGCACCATTCTCGGAACAAGAACTCAAACAAGTAAGCTGTTTCAGGATTGTACTGGACATTCCTAACTTGCTGTTGTAATTGTGGGAGACTATGGAATTGTTGGCGCTTTAAAGTGGGTAAATGTCTTGCTGATTGTTAGGGCTGAGATTCTGCAAGAGTTTGGGCAGTGGAAGATTGACAAAATTCCTGCAGAAATAGTGGTAAATGATTTTGTCTCTCCAGAATCCTACCAATTTCTATTAGGGTTGTGATCAGAAATTGGGACAAACTTGTGGAAAGTCAGGATGCAGGAGTTTACGATGAGCCTGCTGTTCAATTTTTGTCAGGTCCAGGAGAAGATCTGATAAAGATTAAAGGAGTATTTGTCATCAGCGAACATTACCTTTACTTAAACATTACAAGATACAGGATATGTACATGACCAGACTTAATCTGCTCCACAAGACTGCTGGAGAGAACCATCTTCTAGCAGTCATGTTATCTTACATCATTTCCCAATGATGATGTAAACTAACTTAGTTACATACTTGCATGAACCATTTACATTACAAGGATCCACAAGTTGGAATCAGAGGACAATGGCTAACATCACCTCCAGTTGGATGTGTTCTGGGATGTTTCATCATATGACCTAACTTAAGAATCTCAATGCCACACTACAGTCATTACTGAGCCATTGTCAAAGTGTCCTGTCCCCACTTAACAGCTGTAATGCCAACTGATATGGCTTTAGAGTCATGGAGTCTTCGAGATGTACAGCACAGAAACAAACCCTGCAGCCCAACTCTTCCACACCGACCAGATATCCTAAATGAATCTAGTCCCATTTGCCAGCATTTGGCCCATATCCCTTTAAACCCTTCCTACTCATATACCCATCCAGATACCTTTTAAATGTTGTAACTGAACCAGCCTCCAACACTTCCGCTGGCAGCTCATTCCATACATGCACCACTTTCTGTGTGAAAAAGTTGCCCCTTAGATTTCTTTTAAATCTTTCCCCACTCACCTTAAACCTGTGCCCTCCAGTTTTGGACTCCCCACCCCAGGAAAAATACCTTGACTATTTACCATATCCATGGCCCTCATGACTTTATAAACCTCTATATTTCACCCCTCAGCCTCTGACACTCCAGGGAAAATAGCCCAAGTCTATCAGCCTCTACCTATAGCTCAAACCCTCCAACCTTGGCGACAACCTTATAAATCAGTTCTGAACCCTTTCAAGTTTCACAACACCCTTCCAATAGCAGGGAGACCAGAATTGCACATAGTGGTTCAATAGTGGCCTAACCAATGTCCTGTACAGCTGCAACATGATTTCTCAACTCCTACACTCAATGATCTGAGTAGCTTAATTCTTAATTTTCAGTTACACATCCATTATCTCCAAACTCAGTTTTTTTAATAACTAAGAAACTAAATGACTAAACAAAATTGAAGAAGACCATTTTTATTTCTATATGTTGTCCACCTCTCATTTCCCTTGAATTAAATGGCTCCCAGACAGATTTCTATGAGAGGGTTTCATGATCACCATTACAAAGAATTTCTTTATATATCGGATTTATTAATGAATTAAAATTCCACGAAATGACACAGTGCGATTTAAAGTCAAATCATCAGAGCATTAGCCTGACTTCAGCATGAGCCAAATTATTGTAAGACTACTGTCTCCATTGAAACTAATTTGCTATGAAAATTTGCTCTTTTCTGGTCAGAATATACCTAAGCTATCTGGCCAACTCAATAGGTGCTTAGAGAAGGATTTAAGAATTCCAGCGCAGTTAACAAAAGTACTTGAGAGAAAAGAATGCAAACTGCCAGAAGACATCCAGGTCTCATTGCACCTTCCCCTTTCACATTCTGTTGCCATTGAGATAATAATCTGGCTTCCTGTTTTTGCCACCAAAGTGGTTAACTTCACATTTATCCACATGATGCTTCCTCTGCCATGCCTATGTCCACTCACTCAACTATTTCAAATCCGACTGAAGCATCTCTGCATTCTCCTCACAGTATAACCTCACACCAAGCTTTGCATCATCTGTAAGCTTGGAGATAGTACCCTCAAATACATCTTTAATGTACATTGTGAATAGTTAGGGTCCAAGCACTGATCCCTGTGGAACTCCACTGGTCACTGGCTGCCACTCAGAAAATGATCAGTTTATTCATACTCTTTGTTTGCTGTCTGCCAGCCAGTTCTCTATGTCAGCATACTAAACCCAATCCCATGCCCTTTAATTTTACATGCTGAGCTCTTACATAGGACCTTATCGAATGACCTCTGAAAGTCCAAGCAAACCACATCCACTGGCTAACCTGATCAACTCAACTAGTTACATCCTTGAACAATTACAATTAATTTTTCAAGAATGATTTTCATTTCATAAATTCATGTTGACTCTATCAAATCTTGTCACTGTTATCCAAGTGATTAGCACTGCTGCTTCACAGTGTAAGAGACCCGGGCTCGATTCCAGCCTCCTTTTATAAGTATGCGGTTACATTAACTAACCTTCAATCTGTAGGAAATGTTTCAGAGTCTATAGAATCTTTAAAAATGACCACCAATGCATCTACTACTTCTAGCACCACAACCTTTAAATATTCTGGGGTGTAGATTGTTGGGACCTGGGAATTTGTCCATCTTTAATCCCATCAATTTCTCCAACTCCATTTCCCTACTAAAACTGATTTCCTTCAGTTCCTCTCTCTCACTTCACTCTCTCTGTTCACATGGAACTCATTTTATAGCTGTCAGTATAAGTTGAATTTGATTTGCAATGGTCAGAACTGAAAGCATCCTGTGTTAACTCACTATGACACCCAATTATTTAAATGCCCATCATTATAAATCTTGTAGTTTCTGACTTTGTTCAACGCAAATCAAAATTATGAGAGGCTTTATGGAATAAATAAGGAGAAGTTACTTCCACCAGCAGAGAGATTGGTAACCAGACAGCACAGATTTAAATGAACTAGAAAAGAAATGAGACAACTTGGGGAGGTGTAAAAGGTGGCTGTGAGTTAGACTCTCAAGATGGAAGCCTCCTTTCCCTTCAGTTTGGAAAAGTTTTTATTATGATGTGTTTCAATGGTCAGAGCTCAGTTCAGGCTGAGCACGTGGTGTAAAATTGCTCATATTCTGACACATGGAAACTACCAAACATTCAGAGAACATTTGATATGTAAACTGCTCTACTGAAAAAGGAATGGGATGTCATTCTGAGATTAGGGTTGAAAAAGAGGTCTCTATTCAGTTTCTAACTCTGTTATCCTGGGAATACTTGATCCTCAATAGCAAAAACTAAGAAAAGACAAGATAGTGTATTTTATATGTTGATCTTATATTTTTAACGTTCATAAATTAAATAACATTTTCGTTTTTAAGCTAAGGATGATCAATGCACATAAGTTAATGAGAATGCAAAATTGTTATTGCCAAAATTTAAGATTAATCTCTGGTTGAGATGTGGTCACAATCTATAACAAATATTTCAGAACGCATTTGTTCTGCCAGGAATTTATTCCATTTGAAGCTCATTCTTGTCATTGAGGAGAAAGCTGTTAAAATATCATTGCGTCTCATCTGGATGGGTTACAAATCTAAAAACAGGCTCATTTCTCACTAGTTAAACAACATTCCGGGTTGTTTCCTGAATCAATGAAGAACAGATACAACACAGTGAGTTAGAATTGACTATTGCACGCAGTGTTCATGAGTCATTATAACAGATATTCTAGGGTAATAAAAATGTCAATTGTGTTTTATGCTGCTCTCAGAGAACATCTTCAGATAGTTCTAATTGCTGATTACGACATTGACACTTCCCTGATATTCACCCAACAATGTGAAGAGTGACTCATTAAAGTGTAAGTTATTCGGCTGCGTGCTGCACGACCATCCATACAAAATTTCTCACCGGAAAAGCCAAATGTTTTCAGGAAGGTTAATCTCCATCCTATGGGGGTGGGGTAGGGCTGAGGGGAAATGAGGGGTCTTTACCCTATCCTGAGGGGAAATGAAGGATCTTTACCCGATCCGGTTGCCTGCGATCCAGCCCGTGGTACATTCTGTGAACGCGCACTCCTCCACCGCTCGCCGCAGCTCTTCAGCTGTAGCCAGGCGCGCCCCCTGCTCTCTGCACAATCCTTGTGCCGCGGCCACGTCCCACTGCGCGCTCCCATTCTTTGGCCGGAGTACGAACATCTTCCCTGGGATTAAACAAATATAATAAGACACTGCCTCGAATTCCCACTCCCAGAGTGGATGTAGAATGACCGAACTCCATCATCGATGTTAATTCACAAGAATTTTTATTGATTTTGATTTTCTTGGTTCAGCACTGGAACCATCTCGGGTGACCGCTACACTTCTAATGTAGCCCCAAAAAACAGAAACATAGCTTTCATTAAACTATTTTTAACAACCTTCCGAACTCAACATGGGGTGTAATGAGGGACAAAAACAAAGTTGCTGGAAAAGCTCAGCAGGTCTGGCAGCATCTGTGGAGGAAAGAACAGAGTTAATGTTTCAGGTCCGGTGACCCTTCCTTCACAGATGCTGCCAGACCTGCTGAGCTTTTTTTTGTTCCTGATTTACAGCATCCCGCAGTTCTTTCGGTTTTTATTGGGTGTAATGATTTTGGATTATAATCATAACTTCTATTTCCTCAGACAGCGCCACCTGGTAAAGATTCTGTTTGTCCCATTAATACCTTCTCCAGGTTCGTATTTTCCTTACGCTTGTCTCATTACCTCCCCCCGTTTACCTCGAAAATCGTCAATGTTATCATTTCAGTTCTCCTGCCTTCGACTCTATGGTTGGCTCCTCTCTGATCTCTCCTCCTTCCTCCCTGCCGGTATGCTAGTAAAAACCTTACTTCTCCAAATTTTTCCAATAATAATGAAACATGAACGGTCTCCCCCTCCACAGAATTTTCCCCCATCTTTTCCGGTTTTCATTTCAGATTTCTATCATCCACAGTCATTTGATTTTGAGCTCACTCTAATCCTTGTAGTTCAGCGTCGTCCATTGTAACCCGCACAGTCCTTCTCCGTACAACCTTATTACAAATGTCCAACTTTTATGGATTGAAGTTATTTCATTTTCCCCACTTTTTCTGGTTCTACAGCGTTTATGACAGAGACAGAAACTTACAAATTCGCAGCAATTTAATAAACAAGTGACAATTTAATAAACAATAAACAACAACTCGCCCATGTTAGTATTTATTCTTTATCTGAATTATATCCAAATCCCACATACCTGCTCTATTTCCCCACCCCCGTCCTTTGTCCCGCCACATCTCCAGCCCATTCTCAAATGACATGGTTCTTGTTTAAAATCAACGACTCTTGATAGTAATTCTGGAGCCTCACAACACCTTGCTTGTGTAAGGAAGTCTCTGTTAGTACCTCTCTCCTAAATCTTCATTTAATCTCATCTCTGATTTTTACCGTGAGTTCATCGACAATTGGGATGATTTAATTATAATGGATTTTAAAAAAAACTTTGCCTTTTTCAATGTTTTTGCAATAATACTTTCATCAATAATTTTTCTCATGCTCTGCATAATGTTGTATGTTAGGAGTCATGGATTGAAGACTCAATCCAAAAATATACTGTGTAATAATCTGGTGGGAGGTTACAATGCAGCAGCGATTATAGAAGCTGTGTTCTGAGAAGACTTTAAGTGGAGGGTCTGTCTAGACCCCTTGATCTTGTTTACATACAATTACGTCATGAAACTTTATCCTCCTCATTGGTCGATTTTGCCCCCAAACATTTCGAAATGCAATAAAAAAACTAGTGACTTTGTACAATATAATTTGGTTCTGCTCAAAAGGATGCACAAATCTTAGGTACTTAGCTGCGAAAGGAAATCAAACGCTTATGTTAAAAGTACAGCGACTTTGTTGCAACATAAATTTTTCACAAAGTTGAGCCCTGCAAAGCATAATTCGTAGTGAGATA